CCACACATCCAGCTCCTTGTATTTATCCATATGTTGTAGTTATCCTAATCATTATAGGATTAGGATAATCATCCCCTTTATTGTTGTAATCCTTATCTCCTAAGGAATATACTTATTCTCTTGTATGTATATATATGTATGTGCACGTGATGAATAAGATATACAGAGTTACAACCTTCTTCTTTATTCTTTAACAAAATTGAAATATTTATGAGATAGGAATTTTTAAGGGCTAAAATGATAAACCATAACATATATAAGAACTTTAAATATAATGTATAATTGTAATGATCCAAATGCAAATAAAAATATGAAACTTCAAATTTGAAGTTTTGAGTAGTGACACTCTATATTTGAAGTTTCACTACTCAAAACTTCAAATTTGAAGTTTTAGAGTTTCTTTTGTAGAACCAAAAACTTCATATTTGAAGTTATAGAGTTTCTTTTGGAGATGCTCTCAGTAAAAAACGAGGGGTGTTCAATATATTGAATATCAACTCAAAACAACGTTTCTAACTGAATATGGTAGTTCAATATTTTGAATATCAACTCAAAACAACGTTTCAAACTGAATTTGATGAACTTTTGTGTGACATATTAACCTTGACAAAATAGTTTTTTTTAATGCTAGATAATAATCGTGAGATAAATTATGAAAAATCTTAAGTACAATTTTACAGGTAACAATTTTATTGTCAAAAATTTACGTCTAACTGTCACGCTTGACGGTATATTTTTCACCATGATAAAGATTTGTAATTTTTTTCTCTATTAATCAGTATAATTTCACATTTTTTGAGATTCAAAACCTAAATTTCTTGTTAGAAAATTACTACTAAAATCTTAATTAAACTATTGATTGATGGAACTTCCTTGATTTGAAGATTAATCTTCTTAAAATGCATATGAGAAAGCATCCTGCCCATTCGGAATGACAACATTTTTTTAACATTTGTGGTATGTTATTAAAAGATATGGTAGAAATGATTAATATTTGTTTTTTAATTTGAGAAAATAAATAGACAATTGAATATAACAAATATTTGTTTGATACTGAAAGCAGCATCACGAGTTCATTTGACATAATTAAGTTCAAGGAATTTTTGCAATGTCGAATATAAAATAATATTAAAAATAGTATCTCAAAGGTTTAATGCTCTTTTCTACTAAATTTAATATAGTAAGTAATCTGTATTTGTTATGGAATATCGATTTTATATATTTTTTAATCGCAAAAAATGTTTTAAACCAATTGTGATTAAACAATCACCTTAGTGACTAAAACAAATATGAATAAGACTTGAAAATGGAGAGAATGATTCTTCATTGACAAATTTATTTCCAAAATAAGATATGTTATAAAGTACTCATCAATGGACAAGCTGAGGGATGTATCACTTTCCAGCAGAGTTATTTGACATGGAAATCCTTTATCCACATACATATTTATATTTGTGTACTAGAGTCTTTATAGCAAATATAAGAAAAGAGAAATAAGGGAAATAATTAACAAATTTAAAGACATGAAAGGAAGAACTTAAAAAACAATGATAGTTTTTTCTTTTCTTAGGCCAGTTAAAACCCAACTACAAAACATCATTTTAGTGTAATTTTACACCAAAATCTCTCTAACCAGTTATAAAATTACACCCTTTTAGTGTAATACTATAATTTCATACAAAATTCGATGTGATACTATTTAACACACAAAATACTATTTATCCCACTAAAATATTATTTACTTATTTTATTAATAAATTCTACAATTAAATAAATAATAAACAAAGACAAATTAACACATATAATATTACAAAATAGTTTTAGTGTTATGGTTGGAGATGAATTTTTTTAGTGTTGAAACTACACTAAAATATTGTGATTTTGACATAGGCAAAATAATTAGAAAAATGTTAAATTATTTAACAATTATAAAAAATATTTCTGACCAAAACATAAATGTCTCAAGATCTTCTATAGCACACATAGCAGCGAAAGAATTGTGGACAATCTCACTGAAAAACATTGCGAGGCTTAGAAGTTAGAAAGATGAAAAGGGACATTCTAATGCCACTGGGCACTGGTTCAGTAGAGTTTAATAAAATGTAAGCAGAATGAGTGTATTAATTGAACGTTTCAAAATTAGTTAAGATGTTTTGTCGTTGAGTTTGTACTAAAATCCAAACGAGAACTGACTTATAAGGACTTTTAATACTTATTCTGAAACCAACCGTCATTTACAAATACATAGAATCCCATTGGTAAAGACCGTAACTTTTATTTTTCTCCTGTAAAATTAAATCTGTAAATTTTTTCCTATGACTGTAGATTTTTTGTTCTAAAATTTTGGCTATAAAATTTTAGCTGTAGATTTTTTAACAAAAACATGATAGGTATACATCAGCTGTAAATAAATAAATATATATATACCATATTAACAGATGCAAGTTAAACTTTAAATTTGTTTTATTTTACTGAATAAATAAAAATAAAAATTCTTAAATTCTCATAAAATTAATTAATAATCTTTCAAAAACTAATTCATACTCAAATTAATGTGACAATACAAATTCATTACTGAAATTAAGTTACAACCTATAAACTAGTTCATACTCAAATTATTATAATAGAAAACTAGTTCATTAATCTTCAAACTATATAAATTAATTAAATAATATAAAAGTTGAATAGATACGTGCAATATTTTTATGTTTTTTTTTTCTTTTCGCTCTTTTTCTCCATGAACGTTTTTGTTCTCTTAAATTTAAGTTGACATTATTATATATAATTTTACAACTAATGCTTTATTATTTATAATGTTTTTTTTTGTTTGGAAAGAGCCGTAGATATTTAGTTTTCTAAATCACTTCTACAGACGTTCCATTTCTAAATTGCTGTGAAAATAACAATACTAACAAAGCTTGATTGTTTTAGATTTACTGCTTTAGATATAATCAATGTTCTAAAAATCGCTAGGCGGAAATTAGGCGTTCTATAGAGGACTAGCGCCTAGGCGGATTATTCGGGGCCTAGGCGGGAATTAGGCGTTAACGAATTATTGATTTATTTTATATATATTTTACATTTTTATAAGAGATTTAATTTTTTTGGTTTAATTATAATTTTATTTTAATAAATTATCAAAATCCGATATACAAAATAAAATAAATTGCACAAATTTGTAATTATTTACTAAATTATTATTTAATTTAACAAATTTATACTAATTTAAACTAATTATAACCGTTTTAGAGCAATTTAAACCAATTTAAAATGGTTTAAACCGACTTAAATAATATTAATCGGATTTTAAGAAAATCGTTTCGGTAAGAGGGGATTTGCCGCCTAGACGGGCGCCTAGTCAGTATTTAGACCGATTTTTAGAACATTGGATATAATTAATGCTGTGTACAGCAACTAAAGCTCTATACCTATATTTTATCTGTTTAACTTAAAAGTCAACTACTTTTAAAGAAATCAACTGCTAATTGTCACATGAGAGACTTGGCTCTTCATAATGGGATGATTGGTGATGGATGTCAGTGTTCTCCACAGTTTTTTTGTCGTCGACAGTTTTAATTCTCCACAACAACAAAATCAAAGCAATCAAATTTTATTAAGAAAATTCAAAAATGAGAGTCCAAAATCTTTAAAAGAAAATATTGAAATCAATTTTTCTACAATTTAAGTTTAGTGATTTTAAAACTTTCAAATAAATCAACAACAGTAAAATCTAAAAATAAAATCGAAAAATCTACCACTTAATTTTTTTTTAAAAAAAATCCAAACTACAACTTTTACCAATCAACTCAACATCTCCGCGTTTTTGTAGTATTCTGAATTATAAAAAAGAACTTTTTGAATTTAAATATAATACAGTTGTACTATGTTTAAATTATGAAAGTGATTAATTAATTTTTTAATCAGGATACGATAATCTTAGAGTTGACTTCAATCGTGTAAATAATTAAAGACGTATATATCTGGCCATTTGCTCTCCATTATTGCTTGGCTTTTTTATTTTTTTGATAATTATCATTTTAATCTCTGTCCTATTGTTTTAGATCTTTTTTTGTAACTTTATTGTTTTAGATCTTCCTCGTGAGATTTGATGTGAGACTTAACAAAGAAAAACAAAACAAAATATACACACAGAAAAAAATGTCTGAACTTTTTCCTTCTACTGATTCTGAAAAACAAAAAGATAGAAAAGATAAAACGTCTGAACTTTGTTCTCATTTTGAAGAATTAGTGAAAAAAATTAATAGCAAGGAAAAGTTTCTTCTCAACTACGTTCCTGTGTACATTGTGCTTCCTCTTGTAAGTATTCGATTACACACACACACATTCTTTAGCTAATAGCTCTTTATGGAAAAGAAAATTAAAAAAAAAAAAACAGTGTTTACTATTTTACTTCATGTGTTGTTGTTGGAGCAACCTATTCCAAGCTAACTCGATTGTATATATTTTGATGTGAATGCAGTTTGGAATAGTGGCTGAAGATAACAAAAACGCGGAACTGGAAGAAACAAAAATGAGAATGGAGAAACTCAAGAAGGAGGCTTGCATCGACGGTGTGATGGTCGATGTATGGTGGGGGATCGTGGAGTCTGAAGCCCCCAAGGAATATAAGTGGGAGGGTTACAAAGAGCTGTTCAAGATGATCATGAGTTTGGAACTCAAAATCCATGTCATCATGTCTTTCCACAAGAGCAGAGAAAACTTAAAAACCATAGGTCTCCCGAAGTGGGTAGTCCAATATGGCGAAGACAATCCCGATATCTATTACACCGACCGCAATGGCTTTCCAGACGAGGGCTGCCTCAGTCTTGGGGTCGATCATGAACTCCTCTTCGGTAAAGAAAATGATAAACGTACTGCGATACAGGTAGTTCTATCATATTATATGTTTTGAAAGGAGGCAATATCAACTAATAATAATAATAAAAAAAATAGCGAACTACACTGCTCAGTTTCAGAACTAGTACATTAAAATCAATGTTGATATATAGCAGCCAAAACATAATTCTCTTATATATATTTTAATTCATTCAGCTCCAGTGCACGTGAGCTCCACTTAGACGCATTTCTAAACGCAAAAGTAGTATTTGTTTTTGTGCTTTGGTATTCACTAAAGGTGGTGTTGAGAGCTAGAGGATTTTACCCATTGCAACGTTCCTAGCTAATTTCAACTAATTAATCATATGCATGTAATTTCACAATCAAGTTGTACAGTGACTTCATGAAAAGTTTCCGGAAAGAGATGAAAGAGTTTCTAGAATCCGGTGTGGTAGTGGCCATCGAAGTCGGTCTTGGACCCAATGGAGAACTTTGTTACCCTTCCTTTCCAACAGAAGAAAGGAAAAAGGAAAAAGAAAAAGAAATAGTAACACAAAAAGAGTGGAAATTTCCCGGCGTCGGAGAATTTCAGGTGTGTTTAATAAATAATATAAAAAAACTGCTCCATATTCTGACCCTAAACCAAACCTAAAAAAACTGTGTTGATATTAATGCCAGTGCTACGACAAATACTTGAAGGAAGATTACGATAATGCTGCAAAGAAGGCAGGACACTCGGAGTCGGATCTTTTGAACGAAGATTTTTTGGGTTTTGGAAACTACAACAGCGAGCCAGAGGAGACTGAATTTTTCAAGAAGAATGGGACATATACCACTGAGAAGGGGGAGTTCTTCTTGGAATGGTACTCCAACAAACTTATCCTCCATGGCGATCAGATCCTAAGAGAAGCCAGCAAGATCTTCACCGGCCTCAAAATTGACTTGGTTATATTTGTTCTGCTTTCACTTAATTTCTCTGTCTGTTAATACCATAATTAAATAGGTTTCAGGAGTTCATTGGTTTTATGGCCATCACAGCCACGCGGCAGAACTAACTGCCGGATATTACAACCTTCGTACCAGAGATGGTTACCGTCCCATCGCCAGGATGCTATACAAACGCAACTGCTTACTCAACTTCAGTTGTTTTGAGATGAAATACTACCACTATCAAAAGAATGATTTTTCTGCCCCCGAAGAACTTGTTAAAGCGGTAAAATCTACTATAAAGAGTTTTGTTACAAAACAAACAAGTAACTATAGCCAGGATATATTATTTGACATAAATGGAGTTTCAACTTTCAAGTCATATGTTTTTTTTTTCTTTACTCAAAACATGGTTTTTTTTTTGTGTTTGTTTGGTGTCTCCTTGTAAGGTCTTGAGTAAAGCTTGGGAAGAAGGCATAGACGTGATTGGTGCAAACACATCAGAAAATATTAATGCGGAGGGTTACGACCAGATTCTTCGTCATGCCAGGTCAAACGGTTCTAACCCGGAGGAGCCCAACTTCAAATTGCACAGTTTCATGTACCTACGATTGTCCGATAATATCTTTGAGGAATTAAACTACGAAGAGTTCAAGAAGTTTGTGAGAAAAATGCATGCAGATCTAGTAAGTATATAGGCGAAACCATTGAAATTGTTTTTTTGGTATGAATCTGCATCAGTATGATATATGTAACGAAATGTTATTGTTTTGAAATGGACTAGGATTACTGTGGGGATGCAGAGAAGTATGCCCATGAGGTCGAGTCGAATTCAGCCATAACACTTGAGGAAATTTCAGCTGCGAGCAAGATTAAGAGAATCATCCGAGACAAAAATGAATCATGACATGTAGATATGAGAGTTTATATGCATGTTTTTCAGATCTATTCCATTTAACTCTAGGAACAAAAGCCTATTTAAAAGTAGAACACATTGAAGACAAAAATGCAAACGAAAAATCCACAACCATTCTGTTAGTGGATTTACAAATAGCGTTTCAGGTTATCTAAATTTATTCCACTAGTATACTTGGACACATAAACAAATTGAAAGTAGAATAGAATTGGACACATACACAAATTTAAACACAAAGCCCCAATTTTTTGTTGAAATCGTGTACACCGTTGAGTCCCATGAAACGCGAAAATTAGTTTAGATTCAGATATAATTACTGAACAAATGCAACGTACAGTTCTGCACTTTCCGTCGGTGATATACGTGTTTGAAGTCGATTCAGAATCCGCCGTTCTCTCAACTGTCGACTGCGGAAACCAAGAAAACTCTTCTTCCTTAAAAAAAAAAAAAAAAAAAAAAAACTCTTCTTTTCTCCACCAAAAAAACTTTTAGAAACGGTATTCTCTGGTTTTTTTTTTTTTTTTTTAACAACTTAGCTTTATTAATAATATTGTCAAGTAATTTTACAAATACATACTACATTGTAATGAAAATACAACAAACAACATAGGTAAAATGATGAAATAAACAATAGAATCCATGTAAGAGAGTCAGAAGATGATACTCTTACAGAGGGCTTTATTAACAGAGTATCGACTCTGTCAGTTTTCCTGCGATCTTTAAATCTTTGTCGAATTAGAAACATAGATTCTCTTTGTTGTATTACACTGGTCTTAATCCAATTTAGATCTATATATATTCTTTGGTTTAGAATCCAATATATTGATTCAACCATAAGAAATAAAGATTGGAAAACCCAGTTTTCAACGATTGTAAGAATATCGCCATACAACAAAGAGATTAAAACTTCACTTTTGTGGTGTTGACTCTTCCATGGCGGTTTTCTTGGTGGACGTTGTCTCCATAGCAAATCACTTGATTCGAAAATCAACATAATTTGATTGGTTGTCTTGTCATCGAGCATGGCCATCAAAACCATCTCGGAGATTGCAACATCGTATTGAAAGAAAGAGAGACTAACCTCCAATCCGCTGTAGATGGAATTCTTCTCCAGTAAAGAGAAGAATGAAAGACACGTAATCATCAAAAATCTGATCAGATTGATCATAATTATTGAGCAAGCGATTCAGAGAAGAATCGCGTATCCCATCGCCAAATAACCGTCTACGGAGCGATGGCGGTTATCTCAATTCAAACATTTGTTTATATACCCTATAACGGTATTCTCTGGTTTATAGAGTGCAATTGCTTAAAAAGTAAACGTGTATAAAAAAAAACAAGTTTGGATCAGTGAGCCATTAAACACATAGGTCCATTAATAAGCTTGGGCCTTTATTCTTGATTAGCGTAACATTTGGTTATATGAGTTTCGCTAATCACCGAAACATCGAGAAGAAATAGTTCTCTTTCTCTCTCTCAGGGCATCGATCGTGTTATCACCGGAATCCCTAAATTCCGATATCCGAAGAACCCTAAAATTCATTCTCAAAATCGAAGGATGGGCAAAAACGATTTCCTAACCCCGAAGGCGATTGCGAATCGCATGAAAGCGAAAGGCCTCCAGAAGCTCCGATGGTACTGCCAGATGTGCCAGAAACAGTGCCGCGACGAGAACGGATTCAAATGCCACTGCATGAGCGAATCTCACCAGCGCCAGATGCAGGTCTTCGGCCAGAACCAGCGTCGCGTCCTCCAAGGCTACTCCGAGGAGTTCGAGAAGACCTTCCTCGATCTCATGCGGCGGAGCCACAGGTTCTCTCGCATCGCGGCGACCGTGGTTTACAACGAGTATATCAACGATAGGCATCATGTTCACATGAATTCGACGGAGTGGGCGACGTTGACGGAGTTTATTAAGTATTTGGGGAAGACTGGCAAGTGTAAGGTTGAGGAGACTCCTAAGGGTTGGTTTATTACTTATATTGATAGAGATTCCGAGACTATTTTCAAGGAGAGGTTGAAGAATAAGAGGGTTAAGAGTGATTTAGCTGAGGAGGAGAAGCAGGAGAGGGAGATTAAGAAACAGATTGATAGAGCTAAGGAAGGTGAAGGTAGTGGTAAAGATGATGGTGATGAGAAGAAGAAAGGTGAAGACTTTGGGGGTTTGAAGAGTGGTGTTGTCAAGGTTGGGTTTTCACTTGGTGGAGGGGTTAAACCGGTTGTTACTACTACGGGTGAGAGCTCGAAGCGTGTGTTTGAGGAGGAAGAGAAGAATGAGAGAGAGGAGAGGAAGAGGGTGAAAGGTGGAGACTTGGAGAGGAGGTCTGCTTTGGATGAGTTGATGAAGGAGGAAGAGAGGAAGAAGGAGAGGATGAATCGTAAGCCTTATTGGTTGTTTCAAGGGATTGTTGTGAAGGTGATGAGTAAAGCTCTGGCGGATAAAGGGTATTATAAGCAGAAGGGTGTTGTGAGGAAAGTTATTGATAACTATGTTGGCGAGATTGAGATGATTGATTCTAAGCATGTGTTGAGGGTTGACCAGGAGGAGCTTGAGACTGTGATTCCGCAGATTGGTGGGTTGGTGAAGATTGTGAATGGGGCGTATAGAGGCTCAAATGCTAGGTTGTTGGGTGTGGATACAGAGAAGTTCTGTGCGAAAGTGCAGATTGAGAAAGGTGTATATGAAGGAAGAGTCATCAAGTCCATTGAGTACGAAGACATATGCAAACTTGCTTAGTTTTTACATCTTTTAGACGAGTATATCAGGTGCTTACATTACCTTGTGTTTCAACTTTGAACCTTTCTTTGTATCTGCAAGTGAGTTTTAGACAACTCACTCTTATGAGATCATAAAAGAGTATTCAAAAGATTCTTTTTTTTTTTGGTTTCCTTTCATTCTCCTTTGTCCAGCTAAATCTCTGGTGAACGTTGTTGCATTGCATCTCAGAGGGTTGAAGATTATGGGTGTGACGTATTATAATTCTTGATGGATCGTGTTATGACCAAGGTATTGCAGATAGATAGAGATTCTGTTTCATGGCATGATGTTGACTGGATTGTCTTTGACTTTCATTGGTTTACTCAATGTTGTTTGTACGTGTGACTACTGTACTATCTCTAAGAAACCCTGTGATGTTTTGATTGTGCTTTCACAAACAAAGCTCGAATTATATAGTTGACTTCTGAGAAGAAATGCCATGAAGGGTGAAACACACATCTAGGTTCGTTAATACTGTAGCTATAAACACATTAACAATTACATGGACTAAGTCTTGCAAAAGCAACACTTTGAATTGTAGAAGAAGACCAACCTTTCATCATCGCCAATGGGCACCAACACAATATTAACAGCCTAATAAGGATAAAACAAGTATAACTCGTGGACTTTTTATTTTCTTATATATATATTGATAGAAATGTAACATTTTGGAATAAGTTTACACCTGAAAAGACAATTATCCACAACCACAAGCCTTTCCTTTTGGAGGAGGCAATCAATAAGCAAACTAAAAAAAAGGTTGGTCCAGTGTACAGTGAAAGTTTGGTTGGTTGGTTGTTACTTCTTGGTCAATCCGTAATAACAAACTTCCCAGATAATAAAGGAAGAGGAATATATTTAAAAACACTAATACAAGTCCACAACTTTATCTTTCATTCTTCCGGGAAATCAAATCAATTTAAGGGCCTTTTTAAAAAAAAATCGTAGCACTCTTTCTCTGTCTCCTCTCAAATCAGAAAAGAATCTGCCTTTTCACATTCCTCAATCTCTTCTTTTTATTCTCAAAGGGAATCTATTTACCTTCGTTCCTTTTAAGTTATTTGTCATTACCATTGCTTTCTCTTTGTCCGTTTCCTCTTGAATCAGTTGATATTTATGCTTCTTGGATCCGATTTTATTATTGTGGGTTTTGTCTGAAACCCTTTATCTGCGTTTATTTCTCTCTCTTTCTTACAGTTAAACAAGTTCTGTGCTCTTCTCTTGCTTAAAGTTTGTAGCTTTATTGTTCCATACCAAATGGGCTAAACCCGGAGAAAGAGGTGTAAGCAATTTTCTCCATTGATGATAAACTGTTTCAAAGATACAATACATGCTTTGATGACTGTTTTGCTTTGTAAGATATCTGTTTCCCTTCTCTCACGTATTACGCGGCAAGTGAGAATAACCCTCACAAGCCTTTTGAAATCCAATCTTGTTTCAGCAACTAATGAAGATGATGGTCATGAAGAGGCTGTTGATGGTCATAGGAATGATGTTAGAGAACAAGTGGACGCTAAGGAAGACGAATGTCAAGTTGTTTGTCGTGCTCTCACCCTGAAAAGTAGTCTTAGAAAGGTGGATTCTAAGAAGGAGAAGAAGAAGAAGGTACAATGGGTGGATGTGATGGGGATAAAAGAGCTTGCTGAGATTCGAGAATTCGAATCCAGGTTGGTGGTCTTCTGTTGAATTCCATTATGTGTTTGAAATTGAGATTCTCATATATATATATATAGGTTTGGTCATAAGGTTTCTTTCTGATGGAATCAGATTCTGATGAGGCAGTGAACTCTTTTTGAATGATTATCTCATTTTTCTTGCAGTGAAGATGATGATATTGACTCCGATGGGGACAAAAACTGTGTCTGTGTTATCCTTTGATCGGTCCATTTTAGCTTTAACGGAGGATCCAAGGCAGAGGATAGATGAGGAGGTACATACATATAGAGAGAATCTGCATTTGTTGTGTTTATTGCTTCGCTTGAAGTCATATGGTGATGATTACCAACTCAGCTGAGAAGCATTATTTTCTTCTTTGTCTTCTTTCTAAATGCTAAATAGAGTATAGATATTTCACTTCATTCGTTTCTTCATCCATTTAATGGTGTAAGGTACAAATTTTAGCAATTACTATGTAAATTAATATCTACTTATGCAGCATATGAGTTTAACATCACTATGTAAATCAAATGTCTACATGACAACTTTTAATCGGTCTGGAACACTTCAGCAGCTTGTTGTCTTTGATGCAGCTCCTTTACGTTTGTAACAATAAGACTTTGTGTGCATAGTTGTGTTGGCAATTTCCATATCCAAGGTTTTCTACTTATGTGTCCTCTCAAAGTTGTCTTCAACTTTAAGACAGCAAGTTTGATTATCTTTCCTGAGCACTGAGTGTTTGCAACTAAAGCCAATCACACTTTGGCTCTTGTAGTGTAGCGTTTGTCTTGTTGCAGAGTTTGTACTATCAGTTAGGAGTGAAAACGAGATTCATATGTAATAGGCGGATCCAAGCTAAGGGAGACGCGAATTTTATGTATAGGGAAGACAAAAGGATCAAGCAGACTTTGTTCTTTCTCTTTTCGTTTGAGAGAGGTGGAGAGGTTGCTCTGTAGTGCTGTATGTAACTACACGGCGTGGAAGTTGAGTGTGCAGTGGAGGGTTTGGGACAGAGATTTGGCCTGCAGCAGAGGACGGTAGGACAATGTACACTATCCGTCAGAGGATTGGTCCCTTGCTTATGCAAATGGAGAAGCGTTAAGGTTTGCCTAAACTCCCAGTTTCTAGCTCTTTTGCTTTGTGTCATCAGTTCTCTCTAAGATGAACTTGTGTTGTGTCTTCTTGTCTTGCAGGTAAGGTTGTTGATTATGGTGAGCTAACAGAGAAAAAGATAATAAGAGCTCAACGAGAGAAGGATCTTCGTCAAGGGCTGCAGTTTTCCAAGTAAATCTCTTGTGAGTTAGCCTAAAGTTTATAGAAAACTGGAAAGTGTGTATTAACTCTCTAATTGATGTAGGAATGGTAAATATGAGGAAGCATTGGAGAGATTTGAGTCTGTGTTAGGCTCTAGACCAAGACCAGATGAAGCATCAGTCGCAAGTTACAATGTTGCTTGTTGCTACTCAAAGCTTAATCAGGCAAAAATCTTTCTGATATTACTCTTTTGACGTTTAGAGCTGATAAGAGTTGTGTTGATAGGTTCAAGCTGGTCTCTCGGCTCTGGAAGAAGCTTTGAAGTCAGAATATGTAGAGTTCAAGGTAGTTTCAAATGGGTTAGAATGTTCTGTTGAGTTAATAAGAGATGGTGTTGTTCACTGAAGCTGAATAATTGTTCATTTTGCAGAGAGTCCGAACCGAAGTCAGAGGATTTCCTGAAGCAATTTGATGAATCTTTCATCAGTGAGAGTGCCATTAACGCCACCAAGTCCTTATTTTAACGCCACCAAGTCCTTGTTTTGCTTTAACAAGAAATAGTTCATTCACCACATAAACTTTGTCTTTTGATGTGATCTGTTCATAGCTTCTCCTCTTGGCTATTTATACGTGTGAATTTGTCTTACTATTTTCTTGTTTGTAACTTTGCACTACTCGGAAATCATGATTTATTCATATGATTGGTTCAAAATTTCAGTACAAAACACATTCTCTTGTTCAAAATCATTAAACTTGCTCATCTACTACAAAGCTAAAGGGAATCAATTTCCAGCAGAGTTATCTCCTCAGTATCCATATCCTGAAACAAGAGAGAAGTAAACAGAATCAGTGAATTGAACATGTTTTTTTTTTTGGAGAATCTTCACTGAAAAGATTCAAAGTATCTGAATGTCTAAACAAACCTGAGTTGTCCATTGGGTTGCCTGCAGGAACTGGCTCAGGCTCCTTGATCTCAACAACGACACAGTCTGACATCAAGAATGTCTTTGCAACAGAAGCTGCGTGTTCCAAGCAACATCTCACAACCTAAATCCAGACAAAACACACTCAGGTTCATGGATCTGCTTGTGACGAGCACTTAGCAAGCCAAGACAGTTTATGTATTCAAGAAACTGACCTTTGTTGGATCGATGATTCCTGCAGCCATTAAATCCTCGTACTTGCCGGTTGCAGCATTGTAACCGTACTTCACATTATCGTTAGAAAGCACCTGCCAGTGAATAAAAGACAGCTCTTAAAGCATCCGAGTTAAATCAATATCACAAAGTGTGTAGAAGTTTTCTGTTGAACTACCTTCTCGCTAACTACGCTTCCATTGACTCCTGCGTTCTTGGCAATCAATTTCAGAGGGTAACTCAGTGCTCTTTTCACGATATCAGCTCCAACCTGAAGCAAGGGAATGTGGAGAAGTTAGAAGACCTGAAGGTTTAGGAACTAGAAACGGAATGCTTGTTCTATATATACCTTTTCTTCATCATTTTCAAGGGCAGCTTTAATGGCATCAACCTTGGAAGCGAGACGAAGCAGAGTACAACCACCACCAACGACAATACCTTCCTCAACAGCAGCCTGAAGAATAGAAAGCCTGATCAGTATAGTTCACGAGTAAGCAAACAACACGCCGTTTTGAAAAAAAAACAAACAAATCACCTTTGTAGCATTAAGAGCATCTTCAACTCTCAGTTTCTTCTCTTTGAGTTCTGTCTCCGTTTGTGCTCCCACCTTTAACCAAATACATAAGAGCTTTCACTTAATATCCCTCCAACATATTCTTTTGTTATATTAAATAATACCAATAGGGTTTGTTATAAACCTGAATCACAGCAACTCCACCAGAGAGCTTTGCAATTCTCTCATTCAGTTTTTCCTTCTCATAATCTTGCTCTGCTTGCTGCACAAACCAAGTAGCATACTACTATAAGTACACTATCGACAAAAAATAAGTAGAGATCAGATAAGTCTACTACAAGTTAATACCTCAATAAGGTTCTTAATTTGTGTAACACGCTTTTGCACAGCCTCCTGTGTGCTCCCATCACCCACAATGGTCGAAGTCTCCTTAGTGAGGACGACCTTTGCGGCATGTCCAAGAACCTCTTTTCCAGCTTTGTCAAGGGAAAGACCAACTTCCTCACGAATCACAGTTGCTGCAAGGGCATACAGAAAACCAGGACAAGATTAAAACGACAACCATTATGCCTACACACGCAAAGCTCAGCAATGTACACAAGAACTTACCTCCAGTGAGGATGGCAATATCGTCAAGGTATTGGCTCTTGCGCTCTCCAAATCCTGGAGCTTTGAGAGCTGCAATCTTAAGTGTGCCTCTAAGCTTGTTAACAACAAGGGTCGCTAAAGCCTCCTGCTCAATGTCTTCTGCGATAATTAAAATTGGGTATCCTCCTCTAATTGCATCCTCTAGAACACCAACAAGATCCCTTGCATTGGTAATTTTCTTGTCAACAAGAAGCAACTGCAAGACAATAATATCAATTAGAGAGAGAACATTTAACAGCTGCAACACTATGATGGAGTGAGCTCAGAATCAAGAAACATTTACCTTGCAGTTGTCAAACTCAACTGACATTTTCTCACTGTCTGTTACAAAGTAAGGGGAGACATAACCGCGGTCAAACTGCATCCCTTCAACTACGTAGAGAGCGTTCTCGGCACTTTTACCCTCCTCAAGTGTCACCACACCCTTCCTGCCCACTCTGCTCATTGCTTCAGCAATCATACTTCCAATTTCTGCATTGTTACCCGCACTAACAGCTGCCACATCTGCAAGCTCACTGTCTTCAACCTACATCGACATGACTACTTTCAGCATATTTGGTTATAAACTCGTTACATATTCAAAGGAAGAGATTCTTATAACCTCCTTAGACATTTTCTTGAGCTCGGCAACCAAAGCCTTTGCTGTCTTCTCAATGCCTCTAGTGATCAATACAGGGTTTGCACCAGCAGCCACCACCTGAATGACAAAAAAAAAACGAGATTAAGAACACAATTCCTTTTGAGTTTCACCAGAGAAAACTGAAAGAAGAAGAAGGTTAGATATACCTTGACACCCTCGGCAATAAAACCTTGAGCAAGAACCACAGATGTTGTGGTACCATCACCGGCCAGGTCATTGGTCTTGGCAGCTGCTTGCCTCACAAGTTTAGCACCAATGTTCTCAACAGGGTCTTCCAATTCAACCTACAGTAGAAAGTTCCGAGTTACAAGAGTTTTTTAAATGAAAATAAACATCATTAGTAGAGTGATCCATACCTCCCTAGCAACAGTCACACCATCATTAACAATTCTTGGTGATCCATACTTGCTCTCAAGAACAACATTTCTCCCTTTAGGCCCAAGTGTAACACCAACTAGGTCTGCAAGCTTGTTGACACCAGCCTAGTACAGCAAGGAATCACAAACCAGAGCAAATACAAACCATTACCGCCAGCAGTAAAGTTTAAAAATAGATTTTTAATTAGAAAAAAAAAAAGAAGATACTAACTTGAAGTTTCCTAATGGTTGTCCCGTCTTTGTTGAAATGCAACTCCTTGGCTGCGCATACAATTGCAGGACTGGATCTTCTGAGTCTGGGGAACACATTCTGCCTCCTCCCGAAAGAGCTTGAAGACAGCTTGTTCATAAGCTTCTTATCCGATTTGTGGGCATTTGGAGCAACCATGGAACCGATGGAAGACGTTGCGGTGAAAGTTGATGCCATTTTTTTCACTTCAAACAAAGCCAACCCAACAATTAGATAACATCTCTAAGATATATACAAAAAGGCTCTTCTTTTCATCGATATAAGGTTTTCATAACCAAAATAAAACAACTAAACCAATGAAAATTCACATCAAAACCAGAGAAAACAGAGGAAAGGCGACAAATCTCTAAAGTATAACCTGATAAGCTAACTAAGAACATACCATTGACAATCTAAGGAAACACTCACCCATATATCTAAAAGCTCTTCTTTTTCGTAAATATATTGTTTATATAATCACAAGAAACGAGTAAAGCAATGAAAATTCACATAAGAAAATCAGAGAAAAAATAGAAGAAAAGCGACCACATTTTTAAAGTAGAGCCATCCAATTATCTACAAAAATACCCCCAAAATCTTCATAAAAATGAATCTACACTTCCAAGAAATGAAATTTTAAAAAGCTTAGAGTAAAAATCTTATCCAACGTAGTTTCAAAAAAAAAAAAAAAAAAAAAAACCTTATCCAATAGCAACACCAAACATCGACACACACACACACAGACGCATAAACTCAGAGCCTAAGATGTGTTAAGGAGAGTAAGAAACTAACAGAGAAGCGGATAAGAAGAAACTCGGGAGCAGCTGAAGCAAGAGGAAGTAGGTTTATCTCCTTTAGTGAGAGAGTGGGTGCTTTTAACGTTACCCTGTAGCTCTCTTCGAGCCTTGAGTTAATCTTGACCGTTGGATTCAACGATCCGGATTGGTTATCGGACCCTGAATCTTTATTTGAAATTGGGCCTTTCTTTATCCTTGGCCCATTACAAATAGAAACAACATTTTTGAATTAAAAATTAGTAGTGCCAATTTTTCAAAAATTAAAACAAGAGTGTGTCAGTTGCAACTTGTAGATATCGAGATTGAAGAGACATATCATACGTGTCGGATCCGACGTGGCATGTGTATCGTCTTCCTCAACAACTCCGTGATTAACTAGACTATCTGTTAAAGGACAAACCTTTCATCTTAAAGGACAAACCTTTTGATCATATCTCTCTTACGAAGTGGTTGATTGTTACCATAAATAAATAAAAAGCTCTCTTATCTCTCTCTCACTCTCTCTTTCAGATTGATTGTTTGGTGGGTTCGACGAAAGCTTTGATCTTTTGCGTAAATGGCTTCTCTTTTAGGCAGATTCTGCCGGAAAATGGTTGTTCCGGGCTCAGCTCACGGAGGAGCACGTTTGGTCTCTACGACGACGTCGTGTGAATCAGAAACCGTGAAGTCGTTGAACCTATACTCTGCTATCAACCAAGCTCTTCACATCGCCTTGGAAACCGATCCTCGGTGAGATTCTTCTTCTTATTGAAGTTTCTTGATTCTCCTTTACTTGTTGTATAAAACCATTTGAGTTAAGACATCAGACTGATCTTGTTTTGGAACTCTCTCTTTTTTTGTGTGGGGAAGCTCTTATGTATTTGGGGAAGATGTTGGGTTTGGTGGAGTCTTTCGCTGCACTACGGGTTTAGCTGAACGGTTCGGGAAAAACCGTGTCTTCAATACTCCTCTTTGTGAGCAAGTAATGTGTATCTTTCAATCCTTTACCTGCTTCATGTGTTTGCTAGTCTTTATTGTTCTTGATGAGCTTTTTTTTTACTGGATTCAGGGCATTGTTGGATTTGGTATTGGTCTAGCAGCAATGGTGAGTTCTTGTCTGCTTTATATTTCTGTTGTGAACTGAAGTTGACATCTATGTGTGTTTTGATCTTTACAGGGAAACCGAGCAGTGGTAGAAATTCAATTTGCAGACTATATTTATCCTGCTTTTGATCAGGTAAAGTGTTCCCCACCTTCCAAGAATCTGGTTTTCGGTTTCTGATAGTGCGTCTGTGATTCACAGATTGTAAATGAAGCTGCAAAGTTCAGATACCGAAGTGGTAACCAATTCAACTGTGGAGGTATACTTTATCTTTTACATTTCTTCTTGACTTGACATCAGTATCTCTTTTACTCATCTATATGGATCTTCATAGGACTTACAATAAGAGCACCGTATGGAGCGGTTGGTCATGGTGGGCATTACCATTCACAATCCCCTGAGGCTTTCTTCTGCCATGTCCCTGGTATCAAGGTTGTTATCCCTCGGAGTCCACGAGAAGCAAAGGGGCTATTGTTGTCTAGTATCCGTGATCCAAATCCTGTTGTCTTCTTCGAACCAAAGGTACTTGTCTATCTCTCTTACACCAAATCAGCTTCTCTTCTTGAGTGGTCTTGAAGATTTGTTCATCTTTCAGTGGCTATATCGTCAAGCAGTAGAAGAAGTTCCAGAGCATGACTATATGATACCTTTATCAGAAGCTGAGGTATATTATATTTACTTTTAGGAGATGACAACTTTATAATCTTAGACTCACAGTGGACGATTTATCGTCAGGTAATTAGAGAAGGCAATGACATAACACTTGTTGGATGGGGAGCTCAGCTTACCGTTATGGAACAAGCTTGTCTGGATGCTGAAAAGGTTTTAGATTTTTTCTTTTTTAACTCGAAGATAAATTGGTCAGTAACATGGGTCTTGAGTTAATAATTGCAGGAAGGAATATCATGTGAACTAATAGATCTCAAGACTCTATTGCCTTGGGACAAAGAAACAGTGGAGGCCTCGGTTAAAAAGACTGGCAGGCTTCTTGTAAGTTTCAAGCAAGTCTTCAGTTTTTGTTGTTGTATGGTCGTTTCGTTTTTATAGATTGCTTTTTGCTTTGGGGCTGCAGATAAGCCATGAAGCTCCTGTGACAGGAGGTTTTGGAGCAGAGATCTCTGCAACAATCCTCGAACGTTGCTTCTTGAAGGTAAAAAAGCTCAAAGGTAACTTCATCTACAAGAGATGAACTCTTAAAGTGGTTTGTTTTGTCTGCAGTTAGAAGCACCAGTAAGCAGAGTTTGTGGTCTGGACACTCCTTTCCCTCTTGTGTTTGAGCCATTCTACATGCCCACCAAGAACAAGGCAAGCTTCTTCTGTTCCTCAGTATCTTCCCCATCCAAAACACACACATTCTCCTGCAGACACTAATCATGGATTTTTCACGTTTGTTGCAGATATTGGACGCAATCAAGTCGACTGTCAATTACTAGGCATTCAATCTTCTTTTTATGTATTATGGGGGAGCTGTTTTCTGTTGTATGCTAAGTGTTTCTTTTAATTTATAACAATTTGATATACCAAGATTATCAAATTGACATTATTATCATTTGCACTTAACAAAACAAATTTAAGATACAAAATCTAACAAAACAACGTAGTTATAGTACTTAACATGTAAAATCGTTAAAACTGTTCTATGATACTCTAAAAATTTAAGATACAAAAGCTGCAAATCGGCTTGAAGGAGTTTATTACAGTCTTGGTGTCTTATTAGACAGGGTTAGTGTAGAAGTTCTAAGTTAACAATTTGGGTACTGCTCACTAAAACAAACATTACATGAAACATGATACTTGGAAGAAACTTAGAACCAAAAGAAAAAAGGAGGAGATGTTGGAATCTCCATTCTGTATTTACAAAATCTGGTTTTCAATCTTGAATCATCAACCCAAGTCCTTTGTTGAAGGAAAATAACCTCACCAAGCGCTTGCCACCACCACCGGGATCTCTAGTTCATAGCAATCCAAACGTAAACATGTTTTTTGGCTTCTGTTGTATCAAAAGATTATAATCAAATCACTGGTTTATTCAAGAGCTGTGAATAAAGAAAGTTGGAGACTTACATACTATCATTGCTGGATTTTCCTGAACTCTGTAAGAACTGGGTAGATATTCTCAAAGGCTGTGTATGTCTCCTCTCTCATCTGATTAGTGTAACCTCAGGATTTCATCAGATAACTGAAGTATGTTCATGACAAGATTTGAGAAAGTAGGATTGTTTACCTTGGCACCAGTTATAACAATCTTCCCTGAGACAAAAATAAGTAGCACAATCTTTGGTTGTTTCATCCTATATATCAGCCCTGGGAATAGTTCAGGCTCGTACTGGAGAGAGATGCCAACCATCAGACCAATTATCTCCATCTTACTACAATGCTTATACAATTCTTGAGGTTATCACTTACACTTGAGAAAGCACTGTGAGAGTATGCAAGACCTTCAAGCCTAATGGGGAATTTGACATCACAAGAACCTACAATGTTCTGAATCTTGAAATCCTGCAGAATGTAATCAGTAAAATTTCATTACTAGACTGAACAATTAGTTTCTTCTTTCAGTTTGCTGCTCGGAACAATACAGTGAATGTTGTATTATCAGAGATGGATCATTGAGTACCTTGAACTTTGCAGGAAAGCCAAGCTTTTGAACAATCCGAGCGTACTAAACAACAACAGAAAAAAAAAGAGCAATTTAACATAATCGAAAACAAAAGACCTACCAAAACTAGACCAAGTTTACAGTGTTCCTAGAAGAAGAAATAAAATCAGATTGTGCTGAGAAGAGCTGGTATACCTTTCTCGCAGCCAGCTTTGAAAGATTTTCACTCTTAGCTCCGGTACACACCTAAAAGTAGACAAAATAAATGCTATGTTAAAACGAGAACATGGTAAATCACTCCATATGAGAAAAGTGACCAAAAATGCTATAAAGACAATGTAACAGACCATTTTCCCAGAAGCAAAGATCAACGCTGTAGTCTTCGGCTCTCTAATTCTCATGATTACTGCAGCGAAACGCTGGAACAAGAAACACAAGCAATATTAAACTATATCCAAAGAAATACAAGCAAAATCAGTTTGAACTTCCTATAGAGAATCAGGAACACATAAACAAATAAACTCTAACATAAAGTGTTAAAAAAGAGATACATTTCATATATCAACCCAGAGCTATCTATATGAAGACTATCGGCTCTCTTAGGTTTTGAATCATTTTTAATTAAAAAAAAAAAGAATGCAAATACCTTGGGGTTATATTCAGCATTACGAGCCTGCAAAGCTATGGCTTTAAGATCAAGCTTGCAGTCTAAGTTCACCGTTGAGACAATATTTCTGAAACAAACAAACAAACAAACAAAAAGTTGAACTCACAAAAGCACAAAACTCAACAATCAAAAATAGAGAGAAGAGAGTCACAAAACTCACTGAAGAGTTGGAATAATCCCTGAAGGATGCTTGCTAAGGTCAACTGGTTGACTCCCTTCCATTCCTTGTTCAGCCATTCTCTCTTAACACAAACCAAATCGTAAACACACAAACCAAATCAGCTAGTTCTCGACACAGACAGTACAACTGAAACTCATGCGAATCTACAGATGGTTTCACAATCAGACAAGGACAGCTATGAAACTAATCGAGAGAACATGAGATCCAATTCGAAACAGCAAGTTACAAGGTACGACGAAACTCAGATCAAATCCAAGTGAGTGAGCGTATTAGAGACAGAGGGTAAGGATCAAAATCAGACCTTTCGTTAGTTTGCGATACGGAATCTCAAATCTAGGGTTTCCGTAACCCCCAAAATGATTTGAGAAAGGAGAAGGCTTTATATATATACAAAGGAAGGAAGAGAGATTTTAGAGAGGGAAAAGAGGTTTGTAATTTGTAAAATGGGATTTATAAAGGAAGAGAGACTCGTTTTCTATCTCGCTCCCTCTCTGCCTTCTCTTTGGGGATGAGGTTTTGGTCTGAGAGGTTGCGTTTTAGATCTGAGGAGTCTTAAGACATCTTTATACTTTCCTAAACTACCCCTCAGTCTTTATGTCGGATGAGGGTACTTCAGGGAAACCACGTCGTAAAATATAATTTTACTGTCTGTGCTGGAAATGCAGGTGAACGACCACTCTTTATTTGCCACGTACGATTTTCAAGATATTGTCTAATTAGGTGTAATCAAATTGAGAGTTGAGTGATTTGTATTAAAGTTATTGAAATTTTGATTTGAAATAAGAGTGGATTTTAGAAAAAAAAGTTTTTATTTTAAAGTGTTTTGAGTAATCTTATAATAAAAATTTTAAAATTGTTTTCGATGAAATATTTAAGTATTTTTATCTAAACCACAATATATTTTATAATTTTAAAAATAAATCATTAAAAATAAATCACTTTCAGTGGTCCACTAAGTGATGTTGTATCCGATATTTTGTATAGTAAATTTTTTAATTCTTAGGTTGTTACTGATTTCTTGATTATTTTGCATTCTCATTATAAAAGATATAAGGTGTCTTAAACTCTAAACTAAATCTCGACCCGCACAACCGTGCAGGTATTTTAATACGAAAATATTTGAAATTATATAATACTCACTCCATTTA